AACCCTTTTGAAGCGACGGATGGAGAGCGAATTTGTAGTACTTCACCAGAGTCTTGAATACGGGTCTCGGATAGACAACAAACGTCGATATTAAGACTTTCCAAAGACATAGCCAGCCCTATCTGTTGTCCGACCTGTATTAGTGTGCGAACGTTGAAGGCAGTCAGTTTGAATGGTGCACGTGGTTTCAGAAAAACTGCTTCAGTATTCGTATTTGGTGGTAGCATACAATTTTCAAGTAGGCAGTGACTCGAAGACGTATAGATAGAACCGAGTTTTCACCATAGGCGAGGTGCTGTATAAGTCGAAAAATAAGGATACACAAAGTGGGAATAGAAGAAAGTGAATAAGTGATGTAGTAAATAATAATAATAATAATAATAATAATAATAATAATAATAATAATAATAATAATAATAATAATAATAATAATAATAATAACAATAATAATAATAATAATAATAAAATAACAATAATAATAATAATAATAATAATAATAATAATAATAATATGAATCGTTTGACTGTTAATCGAAGCAAGAATAGTATTTTCCGTAAGTATCGTCCTTTCATCCTATTTGTTTGTGGGCTGTGATACTGTCCGGGTACCCAGACCGAAGCAGGTGGTTTCCTTAGGAGGCCATACCCCAAGCCTTTGACCTAAAGATCTGACCCACAAGGCAGTGGGGCATCGTGAGGAGATGTAGTCCCGTGGTAGCCGATGACCAACGATTGGTTCATACGCCATTGGTTTCCTCAGGATACTGGAGCCCATGTGCACCATTGGTCTGGAATCCCGTTAAACCGCCGGACATTCGCTTTTCATCCTTTCATTTTCGTAAACAACACCCCCGCCACGAGAAGGCAGTGCGTAGGACTTCCCTGGCAGAGGCTGTAATTCCTTCTAACAGTATAATGGAACACCAACATCGGGTTTGTTACTTTCAATATAATCACATAGTAGGTAGATTGTTTCCGTTAGAGGTACATATGTAAAAAGTGACGTTATCCACTTTCCGGTTACGTTAACACTTAATACTGAATCAACAAGATCAAACGAATCAACAGTAAAGTATCGACTGAGTTGATTTCTGAATGGTCGTAGAACTTCTGCTAGCCATTTGGCGACAGCACGATATGGCAAGTTATTCATATCTAGTATAGGAAGTAATGGGTTATATTTCTTATGTAATTTAGGTAGGCCATATAATCGTGATATAATGGATCCAGTTGGTCTAACTTTTCTATAGAGATGCTCACTGATAATCGATTCATCTTTCGTCTTCTTAATGATTTTAGTCGATTTCTGCTCACTTTGATCTGTAGCATCCTTTTAAACTTTTCCTTTGTTGTTAATATCAGGAAGAATACAGAATACATTTGAAATATAGTCGCTCACTTGTCACCCTCTTATTGGTATATTGATTAAAACAATTTACAATTGGTTTTAAGTTGTTCGAGTTCTTTGTTCGATAAAGGGACAAGGTCTTTTGTCTGATGGATCAGGCTTTTAAACTGAATTCTTGTGCTAAGCTCACTGGCATTTGTAGAACCATCGCAGAATTTCGGACCTAGCGACGGTGCTTGTAATTGCGTCGTGGATAGTGTTATTAGAGTAGTTAAAGACGTATTTCTCAGGAATTTCTAGAAAAGAAGCGTGAACTTTCGTTGGTTTTAGACTTATCATCAACTTTACATTCATATCCTCTGAGCGTTTCTTTAATACTGTATGTATGTGTTTTTCAAATGCGTTACGTTCACCTTCTGTTACTTCATATAACAGATATGTTCTCAACGAAATATCTCGTTCGACTTCTGGTAATCTTGAGTTGATTTCATGAATATTATTTAATATAAGACGTTTAAGAGAACGATGGTTTGATCGGATATGGCTTCAACGAAATGATTTTCAGTATGGTCTTGTATATTCTCGTTTGTCTATACAGCTTTTTTAAAAATGTGATACCAGCATACGTTACAGCAAGCTTAACAGAAAATCTTAGAAACCCGTTAAGTTCTTTTACTGTCACGGGATCCTTGTATGTTTTTAAATAACGAATGAGATCCATTGCGTCATGGAAGAAGGGAGGCAATCCAGTAAAGATTTTTTCGACTTCATTTGCTAAAATAGTGTTCCATAATGAGACAGAAAGGTGCCAATTAATTAAAGAAGTTGAAGTTGCATGTCAAGAATTGAAAATCAGATATTGAAAGGAAATTATGTAATATTTGGTAAGGTGAAATAATTGTCCACTTCATAGTTATTATGAACATAATTACTAAATATAATAATTATTAATTAGTAGTTGTGGAAACCATTGGAAAGGAGTAGAAGTGACAAAATAAATGAAAAAACGACAGATACTGGGACATAGAAAGGGAGGTTATGGTCATGGAAGAATGAGGAATTGAACATACTGTTTTTGTAAGCTAAGGTGAGGCTTGAACTGGTGGATAGCAATAGCCTCTTCTGTACATAAGTTTCCTATTTACACTCCTATTGAGCCAACTTTTTTGACTATATTTATAATTCTGAAGGAAACTTCCGGCTAGACGCATCTGTAACGAGGATACAAACGATAACGAACTTGATAAACTACGGCAGACACTGGTTCATTGGAAAAAATATGAAGCCAAAACAACAACGTGAAGGAATGTCCGCAGCACCAAAGAACACTCTCTTCATGATCATTCAGTTTAAAGGAGGCATTGTAGCAGAAGTTCTGAAAAACAGACTTTCAAGATCTCTGAGGAAAACGTACTACTCGTTTGAACTTCTCATTATCTTTTCTAGTCGGCCTTTGATCCAAAGTTATGTTGAAGATAAGCGCCCGCTTTGGACCAAATCAATGTGCATCTATCAGTTTAGTTGCTCATGTGGAGCAGGTTATATTGACTTCACAAAGCGAGCTCTTTCAAAATGCATCTCCAAACATTATCCTACTTGGCTACCCAAGTGATTACAGAAGAGTTGATTGAGACCGAGAAAGACTGGCATATGCAAATCAACAGATGTATAAGGAGCTTGAAATAGGGGCAAATATTAGGTGTAATAAAACAACCTAGCAGTAGGAAAGTGATGGATGATTCCCGTAGGAGGTTGAGGTTTGAAAAAAAAGAAGTTCAGATTTACAAAAACGAAAATAACCAGCAAGTACATAGCCTTCTGGATGTTCAACATCCTCAACAGTTACATCATGAAGAAAAGCTTACTCGACAACATAAAGCTAATACCAAAGAATAAACAATACAATATCACAAATGATTGCTATCCACTGTTATTGATAGGTCTACAAATATCTACTCAAAACATTAAACAATATGCAATTAGATAAATAGGTGTTTTTTCTAGTACAGTGTTCAAGCATAATTATGTGTATCGTGCAAAACATATAAAATCGCATGTGCACTAATCGTGATTATAAGTGAAAATAAAATCGGCAGGTATGTTACTATTAAATCAAACAGAATTCATGTTAAAAATCACCAAAGCCTGTATAAAACAATGTTTTCTATTTAAGAGGATTTATGATTATTCTAATAAATAAAGTAAAAATCCAAACAATATGAAACGAGGATTACAGAACTCCACAACAATATGACAATTCAAGTCCGAATAATAAGTCGAATATCCAAGATAAAATCACAGCTTTTTGAAATTTGAGTGTTGAAGGCACACTACTGTTAGGGACTCTAATTCTCCAAGTATAACGTCCTACGGAAAAACCAAACATAAAATCTCCACAATAGAATAAAGTGGTTTTGTCTATTAACTTCAGTATCAATGAATTCGATTTCTGATGCATTTGACACTGTATTCGTAAACTTACTATAATTTGATACACGTGGCGATTTTTGTAAATAATAAGCATTAAATTTAATCAATATACAATTGAATTAAGTTGGGTGTAAACCAATATTCTTTGGTTCATTACAATAAATCATTACAAGATTTATCATTTTGAGTAACTGTGGTTAGGAGAGAAAAGCTTTTATATCCAGTGTTGTAGCGTCGTTATAGTTATCCCTCCTACATCGCAACACACTATCTACAACATTCTGGGTTGTGAACTTGAGAATGCTCATTAATAACGAACGTTTGTCCATCTACATACTTTTAAACACAAGTTTTAGTTTCGCTAAAATCACTATTAATTGAACTTAAGCCAACAACTCTTAGCAGTTCGTCCCAGTTTAACACTCACCTATGAATGAACCCCCTATTTAGAGGTCCATTCCTTAGTTTAAAAAACTATGTTATTTGTTAGAGTTGATTGTTTAAAAACATCTGGAAAAATACTTGATTTTGAGAACATAAAAAAGAACGTGTTACCACAACTGTAGTTACTCTAAACAAAGAAGTTACACGTTTCTGACCAATAAATTTTTCTATTCACCGGATCAATGAATTAAGTAGAATCTTACAGAAATGTGAGTCAGAAACTTGATTCAGGTCTAAACACCATATCAGTACAGCAGATAGATAGAAGTTGAATAAAGGAATGAGAGTGCTGAAACCAACAGTAATAAAAATCTAAAAGAAAGTTACGGGAAATGGGGAATTAAAGGTAGAATAATACAACACTTAAAGTTTGGAGAAGTAACAACAGATTAATCTGCACCGGTGAAAATCATTCCCAACAATGAACGAAAGTAGTTGTGCAGACTACAAGGAGGAAGTCTATATTTCCCAATACGGTCAGGATCAGGGTAACTTCACAATGTGATCTGACCATTCTGTCTTACCAACTTGTTAATAATTGAACCAGTACAATACACCAAAGTAGATGAATGAGATCTACCTAATACATAACCCAATTGCTTTTGTTGATAAATGATCACAACCCTATAAACACATTTATTGACACCAAAGTTGTTCATGAACAAAGCTTTCAGTAATCAAAGTCAACCTTTAGAGTATTTGTAGATCATGGTGTAGTTATTGGACAGAAATTATTACTTATTATGAATATTTTAAACCAAAAATATAGAATAACTTACCCTTATCTAGTTTATTTTCTGGGAAAATAGAAAGATCAGGTGATTGAACTGATTTTAATTCCAGATCAGAACGTTTTGTCAAGCTATTCAAAGAAGTGATTTCATCGATTTGAGAATTCGGAGATCGATTAGCCGACGATAATGAAGAAACATACGGTGATGACGAAGAATTTCGACTATCGCGCTGATCGTGACATGATGATGAATGTAAACTTAAGTAATCATCAATAATTGGATAATTAAATGTTAACTTGTTATCATTTTCAATTGTTTTGCTTTTACGACGTACACTCTGTTTGATATTATCTGACTTTGATAATGAGTGAGATTCGCAAGGATCATCTAACAAATGTCGAATAACTTTACGAAACTGTTTCCCGTCTTCATTATTATCACAGGCTATCGGTCCACCTGAAGTTAATGACGCTAGTTGTGTATCACCGTGAGATTCAACTAGACCTGCATTACTAGTATCCTTAGATAGTGTGAAGATATCAAGAGGTGACTGATTGTCTTTATGGTGAACATGAGAACGCTTAAGTTCTGATTGTAAATGTGGTGATTCACATTGTTTTATTCTATGCACAACCATGGATCCATTAGTGATTTGGCGACTAATAGTTTCATTCTTTGATAAATAATTTTGTGAACTCAGCTTTCTTCCCTTAACAGAGATCAACTCTGAAGGAGAACTAGCTGTTACTGCAGGTAGAGATGCTGACCTATTTGGTAAGCACCGGGAAGTACTCGAACGATGTTTCATGATAGTTGATGACCTCTTAGCTTTATGACTGACGTTACCATTTGTGTTATGTTGATTGTTATCGCTAGCATTTAGTGTTAACTGGATTGAACCCTATAAAATTTTAAACAATATATGTAGATCGCGGAAAACGAAACAGCAAGGAATAAGTGCAAAGTGGTCAAGAGACATTGAAAATAAATCCATTAGCCGTGATAAATTGACAACAAGTAAAAACCTTTAGAAAACCGAAGTCAACTGAAGAACCTAAACACCCCAGTTTGCGATATACTGATCTGATAACCAGTGCTACTCGATTACCACTAACAGATTCTTATGTATTTGGTTTGAGGTCCCACTTTTTATATAAACCTTAACGATACAACAGCTGCCCAACACGAAGGATATCAATCGGGGTTCAAACCTGCAACACAGCAGTTGATACGTTGTCCAAGGATTAAGTCTAACAGTCAACTCTTTATTGGTCAGAAAATTAGTGACTTGCAAGCCAATTTTCTCCAATAGTATATGACATTTTATTTTCTTCATTTTGTGTCACTTTATTACATAAAAAAACCCTATTCATCGAGTTGGTGACATTGTCGCTGGTTTCTAATAATACGGGGCCCATGTCAATTATGCTGTAGCCATCACTGGGTTACACTATATCATTGCGTCCATCTATCGATTATCATTCTACTCACTGATATTACCAATCGAAATTCATCTGAACAAATCGCAGAAAACTCTCCTTCACAACAGTGGTTGAAAGCCTAGTTCTTTAATGAATAGTTTATTTATTTATTTATTTCAACACATAAATATTGGTACAAGAGGGCACCATATATATATGCGCCATAAAAAACAAAGAGAATTCGAGGAGAAAAAAAAGGAGAAGTAACTAACAGATCAGTGTAAGGTATAGTAATAATAATAATAATAATAATAATAATAATAATAATAATAATAATAATCGTAATGATGGGGGAAACGGAAAGGTACAATCGGAAGAATTTTTTCAATTAAGGAAGATACAACCATTTTTTATGAAGAAAGTAAAAGAAGGTTACAGCACAATCGCCACTGGCTTCTATTCTGAGCCATATCTGATAACGTCTCTAGTCACTGTGTCGCGCCATCTCTCGGACCCCAGCCAGGGACTCGTGAAGGACCAACACAAGCCAGCCCCTTGTAGCTTTCTTTCATACCCCGACACCATGTCATACACTGACCAACTCTCCGCTTTTTCCAACCAGTTCCAGCGTCCGCAAATAATGCACGACATGGAATTCTCTGGGACGACATTCGCAGAACATGCCCAGGCCACCGAAGTCTGTGTTTCAAGATGGTGACACCAATTGCATTATCATCTCTGTGCCAGAACACACGATGCCGAACCTCTGCATTACTAACATGGTGTTGCCACTGGATGTCAGCAATCCTTCGGAGACAACGATGATCAAACACAGAGAGTCGTCTAACATCCTCAACTCGGAGAGGCCAGGTTTCACAAGCATAGAGCAAAACTGCTCTCACCGACGCGTTGTAGATCCGACCATTTACAGCCAGACTAACATCACGAAGGCGCCAAAGATGGCCCAGATTGGCATAAGCCGATCTGGCTTTCACTATACGTACATTGATCTCATCACTCACGCCACCACCAGCACTTATGCAGCTACCTAGATACACGAACTTCTCGACTATTTCTATCTGCTCACCATCCAGGGTGAGTACAGGATTAGAATCCTGCCAGTCTTGTAGAAGTACTTTGCACTAAGAAGATGCAAAGCACATAACATACCTACGGACACTGATTGCCAACTGACTAAGTGCGGATTGCATGGCTTGGGCCTTTAGGATGTTAATAAACTTCTCAGGCACAGACTTCTTCAATAGACAATCCCTGAGAACAGTCCTGTCCAACGAATCGAAGGCAGCCCTAATGTCAAGAAACACTACGATTGCTGGCCTTTGATAAGTATGACGGTGTTCCATCATTTGGCGGAGGGTGAAGATATGATCAATACATCCTCGACCAGAACGAAAACCAGCCTGCTCCTCGCGAGTCAATCTTTCTCGGGTTTTGAACAACCCACAGAGTATGACGGAAGCCAATAGCTTGGACGCAGTCGGAAGTAGACTTATCCCCCGATAGTTGTTACAGGAACGACGTGAACCCTTTTTAAAGATAGGGACAACTATCGACTCATTCCGCGACATTGGTACACTCTCCAGCTCCCAAACCTTTGTAAACAACGTCGTCAATTCCTTAGTCAGAAAGTCACTACCATCTTTAAAAAGGGCCGAGGGTAAGTCATCTGGGCCCGGTGATTTGTAGCGTTTCAAGAGTTGGAGTTCCTTGCGGACTCCCGCCTCATTTGGTGCATCAGTCGTCACTGGCCATGGAGGGCAGGACAGTCTGACCGATGTTGCCAGAGCAGCAGACCAGTCGAACTGCCCTTCTAAGAATTCTGCCCATCGTACAAGACGTCGGTGGATGCTAGTGATTGCCATCCCGTAATCCTCGCAAATTGTTTCGCTCACACCAGACTTCTTGCTGCCAGTGGCTCGGATGAGTGGAAAGAGCTTCCGGTAGTTACCAGATGCAGTTACTGCTTCCAACTCATTAGCACGCTCCGACCACCAGGCTTCTCGGTCCTTACGCAAGCTTTGCCCGATTTCATTACGTAACAGCCTTCGTTTGTGGTCAGACTCACGATCACCCGGAGTAGACCGATGGGCTTCGATGAGTTGCAAGGACCTGAAGAAGCCCAGTGCTTATAAGTGGGACGTTTCGCGAAGCCGCAAGCGGCTCTACTCGCCATTTTCATGGCGTCATGCAGTTGCAACCAATGCTCATCTATACTTTTCGGTGGAATGGTAGCTAGCCTAGAAGCTAGCTCGATTCGATACTTACTTGCAACAGAAGTCGAAACCAACTTGCTGACATCAATCCTTTGATGGCGGTCACTTCGTTGTCCACTGAAAAGTAAGGTAAGATTGGCGCAGAACAGGGCATGACCAGAGTCCAGATAGGTACTCTAAAAGGAGCGGTAGTCTTGTACACAACCACGCCAGCGATAGCTGATCGCGATGTGGTCAATCTGAGTCCAGGCTTGAGATGCAGAAGGATGTCACCAGGTGGAGATCTGAACACTTGGGTCACTTGAATTTTAACAAGTCAACTGATTTCAAGCCTGTGAACTAGGGCTGGAGACACATAGCTGTCGAAACAAGCCAATAGTATTTACCAACGTAGATAGAGTAAGGTCTCAGCCTACAGCCCAACCGTTAAAAATCGAGTGCAAATAAACGAGAAAGAATTGCATTCGAATTATCAAAAAGTACAAGTGATACGATTATCTTTTGAGATAAATACTTGACAACTAAAACGTCCGAATCAGTTAATTGATAAACGATGTAATTTTTTGCACTGTTGCTGCTATGTTTGAAGAGATTACGAGTTCACCTAACCTGAGAACGAAACGGAGAATTTGTGACACAATGACCAATAGTATACTAAAAGAGACAACGAATCAATAGCACTTAAGGTCCTCCCAAGTGGGAAATACGACACGAAGGTGAAAATAGGTACTTTTGGCGCTAAAACAAGAAATTCAATTTTTAAAAATAGAATTACGAAGATAAGGCATTTACCAACTGAGTTCTGGTGATCTAACATCCCCAACAATTATCGACAAATGTAAAGCCATACAATATCTAGTTTGATAGATTTAAACATAACCATCTGAGGCGGTGTCATGGAGGAGAGTTTTCTGCAATTTGATCAGATGAATTTCGATTGGTAATATCAATGAGTAGAATGATAATCGATAGATGGACGCAATGATATAGTGTAACCGAGTGATGGCTACAGCATAATTGACATGGGCCCCGTATTATTAGAAACCAGCGACAATGTCACCAACTCGATGAATAGGGTTTTTTTATGTAATAAAGTGACACAAAATGAAGAAAATAAAATGTCATATACTATTGGAGAAAATTGGCTTGCAAGTCACTAATTTTCTGACCAATAAAGAGTTGACTATTAAACTCAATCTTTGGAAATTGTATCAGGGGGATCATAATTAGTGGTGGTTTTTTGAATACAGTCAACCGGATTAACTCACGTTAAACCAAATCAGAATTTATAATGGACCTAGACAAGTTATAGAGTAAATGAGTAATTAAATTTTATTACTACTAAACTATTATATCGGAGACCAGTTAGTAAAAAAGTTAATTTGTCTATTTATAACATGGAAGTGGTGGGTCTTCTGCTGTTTCCCGAAATTACATGTTTTTACAGATACACAAACACATCTCGAGGAAGCAAATAATGTTACAAACAAGTCACCTTTGAGAGATGAAAATCCGTTTGCACATAAACAACCCCAACTTGATTGGCTCAGTATGTAATATATCACTTTTTTGAGATCTATTAAAATTCTAAATAAATACCTTTAAAACAATAATGATTCATGGTATAATGGGACAACAGATGATAGATGTCTCATGAATTTGTACCGGCCATTAAATGTGACAATTAAATTTCTTAAATGTGCTTAGTATGATGGTTCAGAAGATTAAATGCTAATAAATTTCAAACTTATGTAAATACTTCACCTTAATAAAAAAAATAAAAACACTAATCTTTGTCTACATAGAAATAGTACCCCACTGTACTATAGTGACTCTTAAAAACAGAAGTCCCACAAATAGAACATTGCGCTGAAACGTTAGCTCAATAAATATTAAGTCCATAGAATTTTAGTTGATACTAAAATCAAGGATACAACAATGTTTCGTATTATAAAGTGATCACGATTTAGTCGAAATCTGTACTAAAATGTACTGATTTTCATCAAACTTAAAATACTCGAAATCATTTCCATTTTGTGAATCTGTGCCAAAACATTTTTAAACGTGTGAGTTCCAAACAGAGTACAACAGGGAGAACTTAGAGAACACCTGATGATACTTACTTCTCGCATAGTTGCCTCAGAAATTACACGACCCTTACGATCGCGACGAACGGTTCGATTTTCATTCTATTTATAATTTGCAAGAATTCGGAGAAGAAACAAAGAAAAGTGTATTCATAAATTGAAATTTAACAAATAAGGTAAACATTAAAAATATGCTGAAGGTTTATTTGAATATATTATTATGTAGCGCGAATTCGATGTGTGAGGTCCTCAATTTTTTATGATCACCTATTATTTAATATTGGATGAGACTTTGGTCTTAGAAGTGAGAGATTATGATTTTAGGTTTGATTGGGGATGACATCGATCAGGATAATGAGGCAATTTGGCTTTCAGTGAATGAATCAAACATAAAACGGTGCTTTGTCAACCGTAGTCTGGGTACCCAGATAACACTTAAATAGACACGATATCTATATTTTGTTGTTCGTTCCTTTCTTCCGCAATAACAAATAACGCAACATACCAATAATAGGTTTATGTACTCGGCTTTGAGGTATGCTTTTGTGTGAAGAATAAAAATGGTACTCGACCCCCAGAACCGAAATAGGTGGGGTAGGATATTAACCAGCAACCTGATGATTGTAAACCGAGTGTTTTAACCATTATGCCACTACTCTAACCTTCTATGAAGTATGATAATGTGAAGTAAATCCTATCTGACCCATTGATACCTTATACTCTATATTGCATGCAAACATTTTGTGGTAAACTAGCAGTGTGGCGCATATATATTCGGTGCCCCCTTGTACCGGTATTTATGTATTCAAATAAATAATAAAGAAAACTAGCAAATAATTAAGTAATGTAAGTTAACTCATTTACCAGGTTCTTGGGTATGAACCATACTTTAAGTGTAGAGGCTAATGATACTACCCAGTCACCTGAACCTACGTAGGTGAAGTAAGGGTTGAACATGAGACTTATTGTTTGAAAGTCGAACGCCTTAACCAATAAGCCGTCTTTCCTAAGAATTACTGAGTGCTAAACGGTTCGAGTGGCTAGTAATATTCTTACTGGCTTTTCATGCTATACATACAATATAGTGCCGATTTTACTACTCAAAAGAACTAGGAAATGTTTTTTTATTTCATTTTACTTCATAAATACGAGAAACTCCCGATTATACAGACGGTTGAACCCACAATTTTTACATTGATCTGGATCCATACTACATCGAACTAAACTTCTTCGTGATAAGGAATTTTTAAACAGTAAAATTAGTCTGTAGCTATTTTTGAAAGACCAACTTAACCAAATTTAGATTGCTAAATAAATTGAATGCAGAGTGAATTAGGACAATCAAAAGAAAATTAAGCAAGTTGAGATGATGCCCAAAACGCCATTTAACCTAATTAGAGGATACAGATGACAAATTTGATCGATTACGCTGCGTGAGTTTTGAGTTGCCATATTAGTCTATCAGCATTATCCAAAAAGCCATCGAGGTACAACACCTTTAGTGAAAATGTGGTTAATGTTCCGTCCAAAGTAGCTCTTTGAAGTATTTGTTAAAACAATTGAGTGGTACGACAGTCTGAGATTTTTTCAAACCCGCACAACTTTGTAGAAAGAACCAGTTATCCAATAATGTTCAATTTTTACTACGATTACAAAGTATAAATTTCGTAAATCATAACATTGTTAGTGCAAACAGATCCAAACCTTGGACCTCTGAAAATAAACAGATTAACATACTTTAGATTTCGGATTTTTTAAACGAGCAAAGTATTGTTCTAACTAAAATCAAATCAAAAGTAGAACAATTGTTATCCAAACGGTAAAAATCATAATGAAAACTCAAATACAACATAAGTTTCAGAAAATATATCAAATAGGTTGAATAGACTTTAAGAAACTAATGTTATTATAATTGTAGACTAAACGATTGCAAATGAGAGCGGTTTGTATGAAATCAACTCTCTACAGATGTAAGTAAACTATAGTAGGTGTGTACACTAGAACTTTAAATGAAAATATGGTAAATAATACTAGCTTTCAAATAGAAAAATAGACCTGGCTAGGTAAGTGAAGACATTTCAGCTATTAGGCGTATATCTTAGAAAGGTAAATACGGCGTATTGTTTGTTGCATTTTTCAGCCTAACATTACAATCAAATAACTTGGATATTAGTGATCTTACAAAAATGAATCTATCGGACGGAAAACTAAATTCCCTTGATAAGCATGACGCTGCTTTCTTTACAACCAAACCGTTTGTGATTTACTGTAGAGGGGAGACTGGTGTCAACTTAAATGAGTCTACTTAGAATGTACGGCTAACTGAATCAGTAATTTCTCCCACAAGACAACGAATATTAGGGCAGTTTGGACATATGGAGACTAGAAAATTATTCAAGAGTAGACTTACCAGCGAACGATCAATTGTATGAACATAATAGCTAAATGGTTTGTCAGTCCATGAAACTGCATCTTGGATTGGGTTTAAACAGCTCACACGCATGATTGATCCAATATCTAATAGAATAATATATATATATAGCGTAAGCGAACCATGAAAAGATTGCTTCTTAGCTTTGAGTATAATCAAAAGTAATAGACTTGAGAAAATATGCTAGCATAAATGGAATTTCAAAAAGGAAGACGCCGTACAAAGCAATGATACACATATGACTGGCTAATATTAAGTAATAACCCTATATAATATAGGTCAACAGCTAGAAACTGTCTAAACCGTTAACCTTAAACTCACGTACGCTACAGATTCGGAAATATCACTCTTAAGAAGAGTGAAGATTAGACCGCAAACCTTAGAAATTAGAATACAGAATGCCTGTAAACAGAAACAGCTTCCAGTTATATTTCATAGTGGTAGAGTATAAAACGTACTTGGATATGTCACAGTGGTGTTAACTTCAAGACAAAAAATCAAGGTGCAACTTTGGAGGTAGTATAATAAACAATCGTTAAGAGACCTTCGTATTCGGAATTTTCACCTACTTTCGTTGGGGAAACCATGTGGTATTATTAACAGCCTACACATCTAAAGTGTAGCTCGATGCTAAATACAAGAAGCTGAACTTGGATAACGTCCAATTTAAATAAATGGTTTAGATAGTTGGGCAAATAAACCATTTCTGGTAACCGGTAAAGATAACCAGTAGTCTACAATTCAGCAATGAATACATCACACAGATTGATATTATATAAATTAGTCGATTAGTTTAGTATGAAGCTCTATTTTGCTTATGATTAACTAAATGAGTTTTATGTGGAGAACGAAAAAATTGACTTACGGATATAAATCTACAAAGATGGGTTACGACTATATTTTCCAAAGATTAGCATTACTCTTAGAATTCTTAACGCCTCATATTCTTTCCACATATTTGTGCAACATTTCGATTAAAAAAAATGTGTGTCTAAGTGTTTCGTTACATTCGAGACTAACTGTAACACCACTCTAAAACTGCAACACTGTTTATTGAAGACTATCTACCAATGCTATAGCTGATCTGCCATATGTCGTTCGCTCTTTTATTTCATCCAGACCATTATTTTTTAATTTCGATTTTCCCTTATCTCTACTTCACTGACGACAATGAAGCGACATAACTGAATCATTTGAAGCTATTAAAAATTTAGATAAGCACATGAATTTGAAATCATCTAATTGTGACAAATCAACAGTATACATATATCAGTTTACGTATCGTTTTCGGTAAAAAAAAAAAATCTACATCGTATTTCAGACAGTAATACCATAAAGCTGTTTTTCGCCAATAGTTTGTCTGATTTTAACGTTTATAAATACATCACTACCTTTTAAACTATATTCCACTACAAATAAAAGAACCTCATCTTTAGGATAAGTAGAAATGGTCAGCTTGAGAAATACGACATCATGCTAACGAGTCCTTTATGCTGTATTAACCTTGCTGAAAATATCAATAACAAATTACGAAGACAATCTACATCGGCTATTTGAATCAGACACACGTTGAAAATTACTGATATGACTCTCTTAAATAAGATTTACCTTTTGTGTAAAATAAATCATTTCGAGAGTGTGACGTTACAGACTTTAGTCTATGAGCAACATTTATCAGCATACAATAAAAATCATCCGAAAACTCCAGAGAACGTGTGAAACAAGCTACAAAAAACCGTACCTCCGAGATTCCTATCAGTGATTCGGAAATTTAAAGGACAGAAAGCCTTTGAAGAGATTATCCGAGCACCTTCTTTAAGGTTAGCAAACCTTTGCTTTAGCTGGTGATCCACCTCTGGACCAAAGGCAAAGTTGTTTGCAAAAAGGACGCCAGCATTTGTTATTTTCTCTTGGTACTCCGCTGATAGAAAATCTCCGCGTTCCAACTGAGAACAAAATAACGAAAAATGTGAGAGATCAACTTGTATTTCCCTCTGCGCACAAAGAGATCAAAAACCACAAAGAAATCGACTTTTCTGGGTTTGAATTGAGGTACTGAAGCAATTGAAAACATTGATAAAAATATAGAATTTTAAGGAAAGTTCGTCAAAGAGTTTCAGGGACAATTCAAGCAAAACACGGTGCGTAAAATTTAGTTACCGTGTAGGGTCGATAAGACTTTCCGTAAAAGCTCATCCAGTGACGGAAAGTTGAGTCAAGACGCGATGCGCAGTTAGCGGGATATTCAGCCTTTTCAATTCCGTAACAAAATTTCGCATCAGTAGAGGCACATACTTGAAGGACAACCTGACCAACACCTAATTTGATGGATAAATTATCACTCTAGCTTACCACTCCCAAGATCGATAAATACGTCGTCACTAGTAACTGCGATCGTGTCGATCATCTGTGAAATAAGTTCGAAGGAAGTCTCCCCATACACTTGAGGCGAAAAAGGTGGATATTGATTCAGTTTATCCGGATCTGATACAGCTCGATTATAACATTGAAGAAGAATGAACTGAACATGACCACGGGAAGCTTTTCGGTTGAAAAATTCAGGGACAGTATTTTCCTCAATCCACTACGGAATCGAAAATAAGATAAGGATCATACCATGTCCCAAAGATCTATGATAGCTTTATTGTACACATCACAAAGTTTCGATACATCATCATAGGAGCTCCTGTCCGTTTCCTTGAGAAGCTCAACCAGTGCTGGATTTTCGGACATTTCTTTGACATCAGACACTACCCAACTAATAACGTCAACAATTTCTGAGTTCTCATCCTTGATTTCCCCTGGCTAGAAAAGGAAATATGTTGGAATTAGATTAAGAAAAGTCATGATATTCAGTTTCATGAATAGAAAATCAAAGTACCCTGCAGGGGATCCATTTGAAGACTTCCTTATCCCTGGTAGCTGGACTAATGACAGACAGCTGACGATCTCCAAACATAGAATATGCTTGTCGCACTAACAAGTAAACGGACAAGTAATCAACATTGTAAACTGAACCGTCAGTCAACCATTGCGGCACTAATAAAAGCGTATTAAAACTGTAAAACACACCATAACAACATTAATTAACTTAAACTTGCAGAATTATATCATTTTCTAGGAAAATGTCAGATTAATTTCGCAAAGATTATTTTCAACAAAGATGGTTATCAAATTTCATTACCTCAATCACGTTCGAGAAAGATATTTAGAAACGTTTAACAAGTAAATGAACAAAACTTGGAACCTAACACGTATGTGCATCAATCCAACTCTCCATACTCCATTAGCACAGTGCGACGAGACTGTCAAGAGAAATCGTGGAATAGTGAAGGTAGTAACAATTTCAGTGATACTAGGAAAGTGTAGGCATCGAAGATACGACTCGAAAAGAAAATATAAATTGGTGAAACAAAAACGAACTAAGCCATGAAGGATTTGGAGTCTCATAGACTTGGGGAAGAAAATGAATAGACACACCTGAGCCATTGCAAAAGATCTTCAGCCATATCATTCAAAGTCCCTAACCATTGGTTACGATAATCACACGGACCCTAACAAGGTAGGTTGTACCTATTAATATAGCTAGGTTCAATGGTAAGTGACGTCACGGAATGGTTCCGTGTTTTTATTTGGCCGTCAATGGCCTCCTCACACCTGGTTTTTGCACCAGCCAACATCGTGCATCGAGGTAGGCTGTGTATGGATATAGACAGCATGTGTCCCAACCACCTCAGTTGATGAAGATTTACTGTTTCTTCAGCTGATCTATCATGCTCATTTAGTACCTTTTCCCAAACACAACCACTTCTTACTCGTTGACTTTAAAATGCTTGAGCAACACTTTCGAAATACTCATAATCGAATACTGGTAATCTGCGAATATCCTGTATTATTAATGGCGATGTTTCATACCCATAAAGTACGATGGAGCGAACTACGGCACAGCAAACTTGTTGTTGGATAACTCGCACACACCAGAGAGAAGTAAATTTGTCAAAAGCCAGTCGAGTCTTTTAAATTCGTGTCAAAATCTCGTCAGACATCAGACCATCAGGACTGGTGAGACTCCAAGTATAAGTGAGGCAATAGACACACTCAACTACTTTACTCCCTATCGTCAAGTGAGGCACTGATGCAATCCAATCTCGAAGCAACATTTTGCATACAGAGGGCGAGAATCGCGTCCCAAGCGTGTTTGTCTTGTTACAACAGGTGGTCAAAAGACTTTGTATTAGTCAGCGTCGTCACCAAACAGAACCATATCATCTGCGTTTTGTAAGCCAAGTGAATCTTCTGGTGAAAAGCCAATCTCTGAAAAGTCAGTTGACTAAGGTGGTAGCCCTAAAAACATGCCAATAGCAAAGTTGAATAAAAGTGTGAAATGCGTAGGTGTATCTGAAAGCCAGTTGAACTGTTTTGAAGTTTTGTGTTTATTGATTCAACCTCCTAAGTTGAGAGCGAGTAAAAGTTTCATCATTTTCCCTGATAGTTTCACTAACGGAACAACTTTTTGTTTACGTTTCCTTGATAAGTCTGAACAGTTGTCTAGCGTTACCTATCGCTGCTACCAGTTCAACAGCCATCACTGAAATCTATTGACTTTTCACAACATCTTGGTCTCAGTTACTGGTAGATACCACCACTGTTTCCATAGCTGTTTGGAGCTACCTTGGGGTGGATATCACTTTCAGGGTTGGTTAATTTCTACCTGGAATATATTCTCGACTTTTGCATCATCAAGTTAAACTTTGAGTGGTTTTCTTGCTAATGGCTTTTCTACGTACATTAAGACGCAAAAAATGCATGCTCCAGAATCGGCAACAGCCTTTTATCGAGCTTCTTCAACCATGGCTGAAGGTAATGTGGGCTATTGAAGTCCATCGTTGAGTCGACTATACAGGCCGCCACTTTTGACGATACTTTTCATCATATCTAAAGTTTGTGCTTGTCGAGAAGACGTTTACCTAGGCACAATGATAGCATATGGTCACTATCGTTTGATTGCCGGGACGCGACATAGTAAGATCTGTAAAAGTACCTTTCAGTTTGATTTAGTTAACCCACTTAGGAATGAAATTACCCGTCACTATTACCATATCCGAGCGTCTAACTTTTTAAATGAGTCTGAAAAGCTTCCCATACGATTTGTCTTTTACTTCATCCGAGCTGCGATTATTTGAATCTTAGGCAGAGACAACAAAGACAGCGTAACATCATCTTATCTTTCCAATTTCTGAATATCCTGTTTAGTCGGACAGACCTCCAACGACTGTTTATAAGAACCCAGTCTAGCAGAGTACATTCTGCTTTTGAACTCAACGCTATAAGTATAACAGCAAGGCTATGGGAAGTGGCAGGGTGGTCTCCGAATGCTCGAAGGGCGGAGTGTATCTTTTCTTCATACTGAAAAAGAAACATGAAATGAATAATCGCACTTGATTCTGTCGGAGCGTCCTAGAAACACAACATACGTCGAGATTGAGATTCTGGAGTTCTATCTTAGAATGGCTGTTGTTCTATCTGACACAATGTTTGAACAATAAAATATCCAACATGTTGCATAAAGGGTAGATTAAGAATACCAGGAATAAAAATTTCCAGAACTTAAATCGTTTGCATTGGTGGCGCGTTGTGGTTAAGTTATTCGAGAACTGTTAGTTTTGAGGATGGGAGGATTACCAGCTGGTGAGGGGAAACCAGACCTTGAACAAAATATCCTAGTGTTTTGTTAGAAATACGAAGGCGGCTTTCGCTTGCCGACTGTTCACACTGTGGAAGTGTTTGTTTCTTGAAGTACTTGTAAATCAGGTTCGATTGGTGGTGGTCTTGGCACCCTGACACCGTGACCGTAAAGTACAAGTGATAACTGCTAGTGATCAGTCGCGAACCGCCTTTTCTTGGGAAGCATTTGATGTGTTAACTTCTCGTTTCCAAAGATCTTATCGCCTGATATGGACATTCTTGTGATTACCTGATATTTTAAATTTTTACAGTTGACCTTTTTTAATCTCCTCCTCCCATTATAAGAAGGCAGCATCTCTGCAGTTCCTGGTTGTTTGAAGGAATCACTTCACTGCTGTCACAAATTGATACTTTTGGCAGTACGGCTATTAACCATACCGATCTCCAACCGACCTGCGTAGCGCAGTAGGACTTAGAGAAGCATGCGTTACAGTTGATATAGCTGAGTCAAATAATTTTGAAGGCATACCTGTTACGTCCAAGTTTTGCTCGTTCCAGTTATTGAAGTACGGACTATCGATCTACTCGCAAATTACGAACCCAAATTAACAACAGAACCAAGTCCCAATTTAGATACCAAATGTATTCGTAATTCACAAGTAATCGACCAAATGTCGTTCTAACAACAATAATTATAACAATTACAAAACAAACCTTCAATTTTGTAGGTTCCCGGAACAAAACTCCCAAATACCAAACCAAAGACAAACCAAAATGTCCGAAATAATGATATAAACAAACAAGTTCAAAAGTTAAGTAAAACAATTACATCCAAAAGCACAGTAAATTATTAATGTACAATAAAAGGTTTTAATCCGTCAAAAGTCTTCAGTTCTCCCGTAACACTCCCGACCAAAAGAACCTTGGTTCTTTTCACAGACAAATAAATAAACAACAAGAATCCAAGTATATGCATCACAAACAATCAACAACAAACACTCACTATACCAACAATCTCGTGATCCCTAGGACTTACACCAGTACGCCTAGGGACCCGAGTAACTACCTACCATCTACGGCTTCAAGAAGACACAGTTTTCTAATATCTCTCACTAGGATCCCCTTTCTTGTCCTTAATTCTACCTGCCTCACTAATCTATCCTTACTTGGTAACACTCTCTGCACTAGACCCAAGGGCCATTTGTTTTTCTCAGAGAACTCGGAACATATCATTACTAAGTCACCCTCTCGTATGTTCCTCTCTAGTTGGGTCCACTTGTATCTACGCTGCAACAACGAAACATATTCCTTAGACCAACGTCTCCAAAATACTTGTGCCAAGTAATTCGCTTGCTTCCATCTCTTAGAATACCTGTCATTAGATATTACGTTAGTGAGTTCGGCGACGTTCTCTCTCAATAGTAATAGTTTCGCTGGTGTTATTGCATCGAGATCATTAGAGTCGTCCGTAACCGGAACCAAAGGTCGATTGTTAATTATACGCTCAGCCTCTATCATGAAAGTTTCAAGGCATTCATCTGTTAAAGATTGTTCCTTTACAAGAGCACCCAATACTCTACGTACAGAGCGAATCATGCGCTCCCAAACTCCTCCCCAATGACTAGCAGCCGGTGGACTGAAATGCCAGTCAATCCCTTTTCTTAGCCAATCAGAGTGTATACGCTCCTGCACCCAATCCTGAAGACATTTTCTTAGCTCCCGTTCAGCCCCCACCAGATTTGATCCATTATCGCTGTATATCTCTTTTGGATAGCCTCTCCTGCCGATAAACCTCATCAATGCCATGATAAATGAGTCTGTGGTAAAACTATATGCAACTTCCAGATGCACAGCTCTCAATCTTAAACATGTGAATACACAACCATATCTCTTCTCGGTACGTCTACCATGTTTAACCATAATGGGTCCAAAATAATCTACACCAACTGATAAGAATGGATACTCACCATCTTCTATTCTGCTCGGAGGTAGTGGTGCCATCAATTGTTGGATGGGGCAGGCGTTCCTCCTTTTACAATAAACACAATCCTTAATCACTCTCCTCATGGTCACACCACCCCTCAGCACCCAAAATTTCTCTCGAACTGTTGCCATTACCTGTGTGGCTCCAACATGCCCTTCCAAAGTATGATAATACTGTAGAATCAAATTTGTAATTCTATGCTTTGATGGTAATATTATAGGATGCTTCCTCGACTCGGGCCAGGAACTAATTTGAAGTCGGCCACCAACACATAATAATCCGTTTAACATCACTGGATTTAAGATCCGTAACGGTGAATTTTTTATTTTCGCCTTGCTAATGGTATCAGACGACAATATTTCAATCTCTTTCCGAAACACTAAGCGTTGGACATATCGAATTAAATCTAAGCAAGCTAAATTTAATTCATCAACTTTGAGCATACCCACCTGTAGAGACAGATCAGTTCTACCAGAACGCATTACCAATAAATATCGCTTAAATCGGGTTAACCACGCAGCAGCCTTCAGTAATCTAGTCCAATCTGAATAATAATTAATAAGTTGATCAACAGTGGATTCTTCAGCCATTACATGCGCCGACATTGCCTTCTTTATTTCCAAGAGATGGGGTCAGGACCTTGTACATCAGCAGCAGGCCAACACTCCCTCGGCTTCTTGAGAAAACGTGGACCCTCCTCCCATACCTTGACATCATCGATGTTAAACTTGATCCCTCTGGATGCGAAGTCTGCTATGTTTTCTTTAGAAGGTACGAATCTCCATTGGTCCACCTTAGTAAGACTGTGAATAGTCGAAATTCGATTTGCTATGAATGTTTTAAACTGGCTTTTCTCATTTCTAATATAGTGTAAGACAATCATAGAATCCGTCCAAAAATTAACCTCTGCAAACTTAATGTCTAATTCTGACTGCAGCTGGTATCCCATGCGAGCTGCTAAAACTGCTGCCGACAGTTCCAAGCGCGGTATAGTTTGGACCTTCAAAGGGGCTACTCTTGCCTTAGCCATAACAAGACGAGAACATATCTCAGTGTCAAAATTGTAAGAGCGGACGTATGCTACTGCACCATATCCAGTTTCCGATGCATCACTGAAAATATGAAGTTCCAGGAGCGAACGATCTGATTGAGGAAACAATACACAACGTGGAAAACTATCGTTCTCAACCCTTTTAAATTCACTTAAAATCTCTAACCAACGTTTGCTTTCCTCATTTGGAATCTCTTCGTCCCATCCTAGTCCCAATTTACCTAAACGCTGAAGTAACTGCTTCATGGGAAGTATAAACGGTGCTACCAATCCCAGAGGATCGTAAAGTGAGGCTACACTTGACAATATACTTCGCCTAGTGAGGGGGCGTTTCGGTATGCGAACTTTAAATTCAAACGAATCAACCATAGTATTCCAAAATAATCCCAACGTGCGTTCCGTAGGAAGTCTTTCAAAGTCAATCTCTCTTACGGCTTCTGCTCTCTCTTCTGGATGAATTGATTCAAGAACTTGTAAACAGTTACTTATCCACTTGATAAGTCTAAACCCACCCTTTTTGAGGAGAGAACCAAGGGCCTTTGCCAGCTCAATTGCATCCTGTACATTATCAATAGAGGCTAAATAGTCGTCGACATAGAAACTCCTATCTACGACGTCCTGGATATCTTCATTGAATTCCTTACCGAATATATCTACCGTCTTCTTAAGAGCGAAATTAGCGCAAAAGGGAGAGGACACGGCTCCAAACGGATGAACTGTTAAACAATATTCCTTAGCCGTTCGTCGTATATCACCGTCTTCCCACCACAATAGACGAAATGCTCCCCTGTCTTGTCTCGGAATTTTACTTGAAGAAACATCTCTTCAATATCAGCAGCTAATGCTACGTTACCTAATCTGAATCGTAGAAGTACACCAATTAAACTATTTACAGTATTCGGTCCTCTCAAAAGCTGGTCATTAAGAGAACAACCTTGATAGACAGCCGCACAGTCAAAAACAATTCTCAATTTTCCAGGCTTTTTAGGGTTGATAACAGGATGATGAGGAATATACCAACAAACAGCATCACAGTCAAATCCCTCTTCACTAGCTTCAATGATGTAGCCTTTTCTTAAATGTTTATTCATCACAACTTGATATTTCTCCAAAAGACTGTTATCTTTCATAAACCTCTTCCTTAGGCATTCTAATCTGCGTTCAGCCAGTTCCAAATTATTCGGTAGTCTTGGCTTATCATACTTCCATGGTAGACCAACTTGGAAATGACCACCCTCCAATCTAAACGAACTGTTAACTATTTCTAGAGCTTTTTTATCTTCGACAGAATATCCATTACGAAACGTATCTGCATCCTCGAACTCATGATTATATAGTCTTTCTAAATCTCGCAAAATATCATTAGTGGAACAATGACACCAATGAACTTGATGTAGAGACCTTGATACTCCCTTAGGACCTATAATCATCCAACCAAGATGAGTACGCACAGCAAACGGATGCTTCCTGTCCCCCAGACGTTGTTCCAGCACCCAATGTGCATCCGGAGCATCACACCCAATCAATATTCCTACAAAATTACTTTGCAACCTCGGAAGAGTTATGTCTTTTAGATGATTCCACTGTTTCAGTTGGAGTTCGGTTAAAGGTGTTGCATGATCGATTGGAAGTTTCTTGGTCGTGTAAACCTTGTTGATCCTTATAGAACCCTGTTCATCTAATGAAAATACCTCTAAATTTACCTCCAAACATTCACAATTGGTAGTTCCGTTCACAGTCGCCACCCTTATCGAAGTCTCTTTACCTTTGATACCCAACTGATTAATTAATTCTTCACATACAAGAGAAGTGTCCGAACCACTATCTAGAAGTGCATATGTTTCTAAACATCCTTTGGGACCGTATAGTCTGACTGGAACGATCCCCAGACAAACCCTTGAAGAGTTCCAATCCTTAGCTAGGTTCACCACATGGTTATCAATACTATCAATATGCAATAATGAATTATGTCTAACCTTGCAATTCTCAACGTCGCACTTGATGCCTGAGTTGCATGTCATAGATATGTGACCTTTCTTCAAACATAAGTAACATAGACCACGTTTTCTTACCTCCTGCCTCCTTTCTCTTACATTCATTTTTGCTAACCTTGGACAATTTTTCACCTCATGATCACCTTCGCAGATTTCACAACGTGATACCTTGACTGAGATATTTGGGCCTCGTCTAATTGCATGAAAGCGTGATCTCCTATCAGCTTGGCCTTCAGAATTCCTTTTACCGAACCTTGAGTTACACTGTACTAATCTACCATAACGGGTTCGGGCAATTCTGGCCCTCTCTTCTACAAAGACCACAAATTCTTCAAAGCTCGGCTCCTTCCCATGCATCATGATATTATCGGCGACTTCCACCCACTTATTCTGCAATTCTAGTGGTAGGCATGAAACTATTACCTCCAAATTAGCCGTAGAATCAACGTCAGACATATATCCCATTTGCTTCAACGTTATACATACATTACGCAACTTAATCGCAAAGTCAGTTAATACGTCAGCCGATCCTCCGACAGGTTTATGGTTTAATAACTCAATAATTAGTTCTCGTGCAACAAGATGTTCTTTACCAAATAAATCATACAAAATTCGTTTAGCCCTATCATAGCCCAAATCACTGGGCAAAGAAACGCAAGATTCAATTGCTGTTCTGGCCTTTCCCTTGCAATAATATAACAAATACGACAACAATTGGCCCTTATCTGACAGTTTACTCTCTATAAGGCTATTAAACTGACTAATGAAACGGTAATACTGACCCGGTTGTCCATCAAAGTACATCATATCGATCTTAGGTAAAACCATGTTACTAACCATTGTATGTAACATGTCCTTCAGCTCCCCAACCCAATCAACCTTTGAGATGTTACTTACCTCCCCTGAGTGATTATTACACCCAGTATCACAATCCAAATAATTTTCCACTTTAGCATTTATCCCACATTTATCTACGGGTAATCGTTCATCGTCCTCGATGGCCTTGCATTCTAGTTCAGCGATATCAACCTCTTCTTGTAGATCTAACATCTTAAGTTGCCGTTCTAATTCGAGTCTCTTCTCTAAATTCCTTTTCCTCAGTAATGCTTTATCTAATTTTAATCTAGAAGTACTTAGCTGGCTAGAGGACATACTATTAAGACTAACATCACATTTATCATCATTAACATCAGACATACCACAAACAGCTTTAGGAATTTTACCATCCATTTCGTCATTTTCCTTCAGCCTTTTGCTCCGTGTTTCCATCGTATTTGTTGTTCCAAATAATCAATTACCAAAACAAATCCGAATTAATCCAAACGAAATCGACCAATAAGACCAGGAATTTGGACCCAAAATATCCAGAAAATCCAAGATATGAACACGGAACCAATAATTGAAGAACTTTATGTTACGTCCAAGTTTTGCTCGTTCCAGTTATTGAAGTACGGACTATCGATCTACTCGCAAATTACGAACCCAAATTAACAACAGAACCAAGTCCCAATTTAGATACCAAATGTATTCGTAATTCACAAGTAATCGACCAAATGTCGTTCTAACAACAATAATTATAACAATTACAAAACAAACCTTCAATTTTGTAGGTTCCCGGAACAAAACTCCCAAATACCAAACCAAAGACAAACCAAAATGTCCGAAATAATGATATAAACAAACAAGTTCAAAAGTTAAGTAAAACAATTACATCCAAAAGCACAGTAAATTATTAATGTACAATAAAAGGTTTTAATCCGTCAAAAGTCTTCAGTTCTCCCGTAACACTCCCGACCAAAAGAACCTTGGTTCTTTTCACAGACAAATAAATAAACAACAAGAATCCAAGTATATGCATCACAAACAATCAACAACAAACACTCACTATACCAACAATCTCGTGATCCCTAGGACTTACACCAGTACGCCTAGGGACCCGAGTAACTACCTACCATCTACGGCTTCAAGAAGACACAGTTTTCTAATATCTCTCACTAGGATCCCCTTTCTTGTCCTTAATTCTACCTGCCTCACTAATCTATCCTTACTTGGTAACACTCTCTGCACTAGACCCAAGGGCCATTTGTTTTTCTCAGAGAACTCGGAACATATCATTACTAAGTCACCCTCTCGTATGTTCCTCTCTAGTTGGGTCCACTTGTATCTACGCTGCAACAACGAAACATATTCCTTAGACCAACGTCTCCAAAATACTTGTGCCAAGTAATTCGCTTGCTTCCATCTCTTAGAATACCTGTCATTAGATATTACGTTAGTGAGTTCGGCGACGTTCTCTCTCAATAGTAATAGTTTCGCTGGTGTCATTGCATCGAGAACATTAGAGTCGTCCGTAACCGGAACCAAAGGTCGACTGTTAATTATACGCTCAGCCTCCATCATGAAAGTTTCAAGGCATTCATCTGTTAAAGATTGTTCCTTTACAAGAACACCCAATACTCTACGTACAGAGCGAATCATGCGCTCCCAAACTCCTCCCCAATGACTAGCAGCCGGTGGACTGAAATGCCAGTCAATCCCTTTTCTTAGCAAATCAGAGTGTATACGCTCCTGCACCCAATCCTGAAGACATTTTCTTAGCTCACGTTCAGCTTCCACCAGATTTGATCCATTATCGCTGTATATCTCTTTTGGATAGCCTCTCCTGCCGATAAACCTCATCAATGCCATGATAAATGAGTCTGTGGTAAAACTATATGCAACTTCCAGATGCACAGCTCTCAATCTTAAACATGTGAATACACAACTATATCTCTTCTCGGTACGTCTACCATGTTCAACCATAATGGGTCCAAAATAATCTACACCAACTGATAAGAATGGATACTCACCATCTTCTATTCTACTCGGAGGTAGTGGTGCCATCAGTTGTTGGATGGGGCAGGCGTTCCTCCTTTTACAATAAACACAATCCTTAATCTCTCTCCTCATGGTCACACCACCCCTCAGCACCCAAAATTTCTCTCGAACTGTTGCCATTACCTGTGTGGCTCCAACATGCCCTTCCAAAGTATGATAATACTGTAGAATCAAATTTGTAATTCTATGCTTTGATGGTAATATTATAGGATGCTTCCTCGACTCGGGCCAGGAACTAATTTGAAGTCGGCCACCAACACATAATAATCCGTTTAACATCATTGGATTTAAGATCCGTAACGGTGAATTTTTTATTTTCGCCTTGCTAATGGTATCAGACGACAATATTTCAATCTCTTTCCGAAACACTAAGCGTTGGACATATCGAATTAAATCTAAGCAAGCTAAATTTAATTCATCAACTTTGAGCATACCCACCTGTAGAGACAGATCAGTTCTACCAGAACGCATTACCAATAAATATCGCTTAAATCGGGTTAACCACGCAGCAGCCTTCAGTAATCTAGTCCAATCTGAATAATAATTAATAAGTTGATCAACAGTGGATTCTTCAGCCATTACATGCGCCGACATTGCCTTCTTTATTTCCAAGAGATGGGGGTCAGGACCTTGTACATCAGCAGCAGGCCAACACTCCCTCGGCTTCTTGAGAAAACGTGGACCCTCCTCCCATACCTTGACATCATCGATGTTAAACTTGATCCCTCTGGATGCGAAGTCTGCTATGTTTTCTTTAGAAGGTACGAATCTCCATTGGTCCACCTTAGTAAGACTGTGAATAGTCGAAATTCGATTTGCTATGAATGTTTTAAACTGGCTTTTCTCATTTCTAATATAGTGTAAGACAATCATAGAATCCGTCCAAAAATTAACCTCTGCAAACTTAATGTCTAATTCTGACTGCAGCTGGTATCCCATGCGAGCTGCTAAAACTGCTGCCGACAGTTCCAAGCGCGGTATAGTTTGGACCTTCAAAGGGGCTACTCTTGCCTTAGCCATAACAAGACGAGAACATATCTCAGTGTCAAAATTGTAAGAGCGGACGTATGCTACTGCACCATATCCAGTTTCCGATGCATCACTGAAAATATGAAGTTCCAGGAGCGAACGATCTGATTGAGGAAACAATACACAACGTGGAAAACTATCGTTCTCAACCCTTTTAAATTCACTTAAAATCTCTAACCAACGTTTGCTTTCCTCATTTGGAATCTCTTCGTCCCATCCTAGTCCCAATTTACCTAAACGCTGAAGTAACTGCTTCATGGGAAGTATAAACGGTGCTACCAATCCCAGAGGATCGTAAAGTGAGGCTACACTTGACAATATACTTCGCCTAGTGAGGGGGCGTTTCGGTATGCGAACTTTAAATTCAAACGAATCAACCATAGTATTCCAAAATAATCCCAACGTGCGTTCCGTAGGAAGTCTTTCAAAGTCAATCTCTCTTACGGCTTCTGCTCTCTCTTCTGGATGAATTGATTCAAGAACTTGTAAACAGTTACTTATCCACTTGATAAGTCTAAACCCACCCTTTTTGAGGAGAGAACCAAGGGCCTTTGCCAGCTCAATTGCATCCTGTACATTATCAATAGAGGCTAAATAGTCGTCGACATAGAAACTCCTATCTACGACGTCCTGGATATCTTCATTGAATTCCTTACCGAATATATCTACCGTCTTCTTAAGAGCGAAATTAGCGCAAAAGGGAGAGGACACGGCTCCAAACGGATGAACTGTTAAACAATATTCCTTAGCCGTTCGTCGTATATCACCGTCTTCCCACCACAATAGACGAAATGCTCCCCTGTCTTGTCTCGGAATTTTTACTTGAAGAAACATCTCTTCAATATCAGCAGCTAATGCTACGTTACCTAATCTGAATCGTAGAAGTACACCAATTAAACTATTTACAGTATTCGGTCCTCTCAAAAGCTGGTCATTAAGAGAACAACCTTGATAGACAGCCGCACAGTCAAAAACAATTCTCAATTTTCCAGGCTTTTTAGGGTTGATAACAGGATGATGAGGAATATACCAACAAACAGCATCACAGTCAAATCCCTCTTCACTAGCTTCAATGATGTAGCCCTTTCTTAAATGTTTATTCATCACAACTTGATATTTCTCCAAAAGACTGTTATCTTTCATAAACCTCTTCCTTAGGCATTCTAATCTGCGTTCAGCCAGTTCCAAATTATTCGGTAGTCTTGGCTTATCATACTTCCATGGTAGACCAACTTGGAAATGACCACCCTCCAATCTAAACGAACTGTTAACTATTTCTAGAGCTTTTTTATCTTCGACAGAATATCCATTACGAAACGTATCTGCATCCTCGAACTCATGATTATATAGTCTTTCTAAATCTCGCAAAATATCATTAGTGGAACAATGACACCAATGAACTTGATGTAGAGACCTTGATACTCCCTTAGGACCTATAATCATCCAACCAAGATGAGTACGCACAGCAAACGGATGCTTCCTGTCCCCCAGACGTTGTTCCAGCACCCAATGTGCATCCGGAGCATCACACCCAATCAATATTCCTACAAAATTACTTTGCAACCTCGGAAGAGTTATGTCTTTTAGATGATTCCACTGTTTCAGTTGGAGTTCGGTTAAAGGTGTTGCATGATCGATTGGAAGTTTCTTGGTCGTGTAAACCTTGTTGATCCTTATAGAACCCTGTTCATCTAATGAAAATACCTCTAAATTTACCTCCAAACATTCACAATTGGTAGTTCCGTTCACAGTCGCCACCCTTATCGAAGTCTCTTTACCTTTGATACCCAACTGATTAATTAATTCTTCACATACAAGAGAAGTGTCCGAACCACTATCTAGAAGTGCATATGTTTCTAAACATCCTTTGGGACCGTATAGTCTGACTGGAACGATCCCCAGACAAACCCTTGAAGAGTTCCAATCCTTAGCTAGGTTCACCACATGGTTATCAATACTATCAATATGCAATAATGAATTATGTCTAACCTTGCAATTCTCAACGTCGCACTTGATGCCTGAGTTGCATGTCATAGATATGTGACCTTTCTTCAAACATAAGTAACATAGACCACGTTTTCTTACCTCCTGCCTCCTTTCTCTTACATTCATTTTTGCTAACCTTGGACAATTTTTCACCTCATGATCACCTTCGCAGATTTCACAACGTGATACCTTGACTGAGATATTTGGGCCTCGTCTAATTGCATGAAAGCGTGATCTCCTATCAGCTTGGCCTTCAGAATTCCTTTTACCGAACCTTGAGTTACACTGTACTAATCTACCATAACGGGTTCGGGCAATTCTGGCCCTCTCTTCTACAAAGACCACAAATTCTTCAAAGCTTGGCTCTTTCCCATGCATCATGATATTATCGGCGACTTCCACCCACTTATTCTGCAATTCTAGTGGTAGGCATGAAACTATTACCTCCAAATTAGCCGTAGAATCAACGTCAGACATATATCCCATTTGCTTCAACGTTATACATACATTACGCAACTTAATCGCAAAGTCAGTTAATACGTCAGCCGATCCTCCGACAGGTTTATGGTTTAATAACTCAATAATTAGTTCTCGTGCAACAAGATGTTCTTTACCAAATAAATCATACAAAATTCGTTTAGCCCTATCATAGCCCAAATCACTGGGCAAAGAAACGCAAGATTCAATTGCTGTTCTGGCCTTTCCCTTGCAATAATATAACAAATACGACAACAATTGGCCCTTATCTGACAGTTTACTCTCTATAAGGCTATTAAACTGACTAATGAAACGGTAATACTGACCCGGTTGTCCATCAAAGTACATCATATCGATCTTAGGTAAAACCATGTTACTAACCATTGTATGTAACATGTCCTTCAGCTCCCCAACCCAATCAACCTTTGAGATGTTACTTACCTCCCCTGAGTGATTATTACACCCAGTATCACAATCCAAATAATTTTCCACTTTAGCATTTATCCCACATTTATCTACGGGTAATCGTTCATCGTCCTCGATGGCCTTGCATTCTAGTTCAGCGATATCAACCTCTTCTTGTAGATCTAACATCTTAAGTTGCCGTTCTAATTCGAGTCTCTTCTCTAAATTCCTTTTCCTCAGTAATGCTTTATCTAATTTTAATCTAGAAGTACTTAGCTGGCTAGAGGACATACTATTAAGACTAACATCACATTTATCATCATTAACATCAGACATACCACAAACAGCTTTAGGAATTTTACCATCCATTTCGTCATTTTCCTTCAGCCTTTTGCTCCGTGTTTCCATCGTATTTGTTGTTCCAAATAATCAATTACCAAAACAAATCCGAATTAATCCAAACGAAATCGACCAATAAGACCAGGAATTTGGACCCAAAATATCCAGAAAATCCAAGATATGAACACGGAACCAATAATTGAAGAACTTTATGTTACGTCCAAGTTTTGCTCGTTCCAGTTATTGAAGTACGGACTATCGATCTACTCGCAAATTACGAACCCAAATTAACAACAGAACCAAGTCCCAATTTAGATACCAAATGTATTCGTAATTCACAAGTAATCGACCAAATGTCGTTCTAACAACAATAATTATAACAATTACAAAACAAACCTTCAATTTTGTAGGTTCCCGGAGCAAAACTCCCAAATACCAAACCAAAGACAAACCAAAATGTCCGAAATAATGATATAAACAAACAAGTTCAAAAGTTAAGTAAAACAATTACATCCAAAAGCACAGTAAATTATTAATGTACAATAAAAGGTTTTAATCCGTCAAAAGTCTTCAGTTCTCCCGTAACACATACCCGATCACGTATAGATGACAGCTACGGTAGGGAATAATACCCGTAGCATCATACTTAGTGAGTGAAATGAATACTGTGCCACATTTCGAGGAAGTGAATAGGGGTTCTTGTCATTAGCCATTAAGGAGCCTATCTCACTGGTAGTAAAATATAAATTGGATTAAAGCACGGTCTGTGCAGGATTAAGTTGCAGCATACCGATAGGTTATTTTATTCAATCAGCGCTAGTGGATACTTGAGGAAGAATCTGGAATCTTATCATGTAAAAACTATAAATATACTAACGCTTTACTTATTGTGCTTCCTTCTTCGATCTATCCTTGTTATTTAGAATATAATTTCGTTCCTTACCAACCGTGTTCTGATTTGGGGACTTGTCGAGTGAAGTGGTGTCAGAGAATACTAATCGGAATGAGTAGCTGAGTCGCAACAAGGATATTTATATCACTCACAGTACACAGACTCTTGTTTTAGACAGTATCTTTGTTGTCCCGAGTATGGAACTCGGGAAATACCTACTGTCGCAGATTGCTGATGTATCATGAGTTTGAGTGGTAATCCTACAGTTAAACTGTTTGAGATCATTTTCTAAGAAAAAGAGAAATCAGCGAAGAAAATTTTCTTCTCGACGAAATCACTTACTTAAGATGTACATTCGTATGTATTGTTATATTGTAAATATATGTCTATAGATGGATAGAAAGGATTGTATCACAAAAAGGGATTCATTTACTTTTAGAAACTGAGTATTTATACCAACCTTACAACGAAACCACATCGAAGTCAAACAAACACATGTTTACCTATGCATAACAAATATACTGAAATTATTCACTCGGTTGAGGGTTCGGAGTGTCGAAAACTGTAACATTCCAAGAAACAAAATGGACGTCCAGGGATTTCTATCAATAAACATTTCGCCAAGAAAACAGAATATAGGTAAGGCCTAACTGCACGCAAAACGTCTCTGCATATACACTTAAAAGTTAGAGGTGGTGCACCAAGGGAAATGCCAATGTTTAATTTGAACAGAGCAATCCAAAGAACTTTTATACCAAGTAAACTGAAAATAGTGCTTCTTACACATACGGTGGTTGCTTTAATATTGAAGGATAAATAATCGATTTCAGCTCATTTAGTACAAACTAGCCATACAACCAGCGGGTCGGTCACCCACAATAAAATGTCGTGTTGACAGCAATCTGTCTAGATCTGTCGTACTAATAATCCTTCGGACGGCTGAAGCAATAGCTAATCGGGCCGAAAAGCCGGACCTTGAGTCTCGACAATATCTGGCCTAGTTAGTTATTAATCATTTTTGTGATATGGTGATGTATTTCAATTATTGTTCATTTTCATTGGTTAAAATGATCTCATTCCCACATATCACCGTTGTTGTTAGTTGTTGGGCCGGCTTCCGGAGAACTTCAACGGAGCCTTCAGAGGCTCAAAAAGGAGCCGAAGGGCCTGGCCAATCAGAGTATGTTGGAACGTTCGAGAATTCCAGCGTGGCGTGTACCATTGGTCGGTAGCATAATATGACGTTAACGGATTGGCTGAAATATGATGTTAATTTAACAGACGCCAACATCTATAAATACCCTTGATTTTCTGTACTAGAATGAACCTTGGAATAAAGTGTTTTCTCTCATTCCTGTGTCTTCTCTCTGGAGTTCAAGTCGCTGTGTAGTTCTAGACTGCGGGTTACCGAAATAGCTTAGGAATCGTTTATAGCGTTCAACCTACACGACATATCAGTGGCGACGGGGATGAAAACTTCAATGAATGTTTCCTTGGAGCAATTAGAAGCTTATGTGGTGCGTCAAGAAAAGAGGTTTGAAGAGTCCCAAATTAGAATCATGGAAACCCTGATGCAGAAATTCTGCCTGTCCGAGAAAAACCCTGCTTCTAGTGAATCTCAAGTATCACATACTGATTCAGTCATTAATGCCATCCATGAATTTAATTTTGATGGTGTAGCAGGTGTAACTTTCGAGTCGTGGTTTAAGAAGTATGAAGATTTGTTTTATATTGATCTTTGCAAACTGGATGATGCTTCAAAAGCCAGGATACTTCTTAGAAAACTTGGGACTATGGAACATGAACGCTATAGCAACTTCATTTTTCCGAAGAACCCACGAGATTTTAGTTTTGATGATACAGTCAAAACCCTATCCCAAATCTTCGGAGAACAATCATCTCTATTTAATATCCGTTACCAGTGCTTAAAATTAACGAAAGAACCAGGAGATGATTGGGTGAAGCATGCAGGAACTGTGGACCGAGAATGTGAGAGGTTTAGATTGTCGTCCATGTCTGAAGATCAGTTTAAATGCTTAGTATTTATCTGCAGCCTGCGTTCACCCGGAGATGCCGATATCCGAACCAGAATCCTAAGCAAACTCGAACACTGCCCTAATATGACCCTGCAAAAAGTGACTACTGAGTGCCAAAGGTTAGTAAACTTAAAGCATGATACCTCAATGGTAGAAAACGGTAACTGTTTCCGTAACGTCAATGCAGTCAAGGGAAAAGTCTTTCAAGGTTCCAGTACCCATAATTTTCGAAATAACAGCGACAAACCATCATCTCCATGCTGGGCATGTGGAGGTTGGCAGTATAAGAGGTTTTGCCTATATAAAGAACATCGTTGCAGCAAATGTCATCGGAAGGGGCATAAAGAAAACTTCTGCAGGAGAAGAGACTATAGACAACGTTCCTTGAAATCTTACTCAAAGAAATACAGATATAGTGCTCCAACCAACAAGATATTGGTATCACATAACAGAGCACGAAGTTGCCCCCAAAGAAAGTATGTGACCTTGAATATTAATAAACACCGTACCCGCCTTCAGCTGGACACAGCTTCTGATATTACTTTAATCAGCCCAGAAACGTGGAAGAACATTGGGAGACCCACAGTTTTCCCAACAACACAGCTGGCACACAGTGCATCTGGGGGAAAGTTGAATATTGTTGGAGAAGTGCCATGCACTATTTCTAAAGGTACGGTAACAACAAATGCAGCATTGTATCTTACTAATAAGCCAGCACTAGACTTAATGGGGTTGGACCTTATAGAAACACTTAAACTAGCAGATTATTCTATCAACAGTATATGCAGACGAGTAAGTACAGACAACACCCCAGAATGGAATCAGAAAAACGCCATGCTACAAAGACATCAAAGCGTGTTTAGAGAAGGATTGGGAGAATGTACTAAAGCCAAAGCACTGTTAACTCTAAAACCTGAAGCTACTCCCGTTTTTCGACCTAAAAGACCTGTACCCTATGCTGCTCTTCCAATAGTTGAACAAGAATTACAACGGCTTCAGCAAATGGGTGTTATCGAGCCTGTGAACTTCTCGAATTGGGCTGCACCAATAGTGGTGGTCAAGAAGTCGAATGGAAGCGTTCGTCTATGTGCAGACTGTAAGATCCATTTTGAATGCTTTGTGTGTTTGTGAAAATCCCCCCATGTATATACTTGAACTTTGTTCCTATTGATCCTCTTAGTTGTACATTGTTAAATTTTTGGCTACATTTGAATTGTTAATATTTGTATTTTATTATAGTTTTTGTTTTTACTACACCTTCACTAATTCCCCATGTTTCTTCCCGAACTGGACTTATGTTGTTTTACTTTATACTAAGTCTGGGCGGCAGCCATTTTGGTTTGTTCCTGTTTTTGATTGCTTGACCTGTGTTGACTGGAATTGTGCATTTTGGTTGTGAATTTAAGCACTCTTCCAGAATTGAAAACACTCTGTATTATAGAGCGACCAATTATTACCTTTTGAACGAATCTGTACGTGATCTATCCAGACAGGATAGAATAACATTTATTTGTGGTGATTGGTAATTTTCTTGCATCCTTTATCAACTTTCTTATTTATTGTAGTTTAGATTTGATCAATTGAACAATTATTGGTTGGATAGCTGAGTGGTTATATTTGTTTAGGTAATAATGTACACTTAAATTTATGATAAATTATAGAACCGTCATCTTACCCAATTACTTTGTTTTGGTATCAATCGGGAGAGGGCGCGTATCTAACTCATCCAGACAGCTATCCTTCACTCCAAACCGTAGTTTGGATCTTATACAGACTACTCTACGGGATTAAATGAAGCTCTAGAGTCTCACCAGTATCCGTTACCCTTACCAGAAGATCTTTTCGCAAAGCTGAAGGGTGGCAGATATTTTTCAAAATTGGACTTATCAGACGCATACCTACAAATCGCTGTATCTGATGAAAGCAAAGATCTCTTAACGATCAACACACACAAAGGTCTGTTCCGGTATAACCGACTACCTTTTGGGGTGAAGACAGCGCCCTCTATTTTCCAGCAAATTATTGATACCATGTTACAAGGTATTCCAGGGGCAGCAGCTTACTTAGACGACATCATAATTACGGCAGTAGATAAAACGGACCTGCAGAAGAAACTGGACCAGGTACTAGAACGCATAGCCGATTATGGTTTTCGCCTCCGAGCGGAAAAGTGTGACTTCTATATGCAGCAAGTACGGTACCTTGGGTTCATAATAGATAAAGATGGAAGACGACCAGATCCAGAGAACATTGAAGCAGTGAAAACAACGCCTAGACCCAGGGACATTACTACCCTACGATCATTCTTGGGACTGGTCAGCCATTACGGTACCTTTCTCCCCGATCTCCATCGTCTACGTGCTCCACTAAACAACCTACTACAAAAGAACACAAGATGGAATTGGTCTGCAGACTGCCAAGCGTCTTTTGAGAAAATCAAGCAACTTCTAACTTCCGATCTCTTATTGACACATTATGATCCTTCTCTACCGATAGTCGTCGCTTCAGATGCTTCTAACTATGGTGTGGGCGCAGCTATCTCTCACATTTT